ATAACAGTAGAGATTGAATGAACAGATTCTGCAGAGTGGGAGAATAGAGATAGAATGGTGAAACAGGGGTCCCTATGTCCTCCAGCAGTCTAAGCCTATAGCAGCATAACTATAGAGATAGCTCAGGATAACCTGAGCCACTCTAACTATAAACTTTATCAAAAAGGAAAGTTCTAAGCCTCTTTTGACTATTGAGCCGATGTAACAAGTAAATTTCTCAACTGTGAGATCAATAAAGTCAATCAATCACTGATGACAGCAGTTTTCAGTAGAAGTGATGTTTCGACATGATAAAGAATTTAGAAGTTAGCTGCAGGCCTCCTGTTTAAATGAAACCCCTAGTTTTTGTTGATGATGTTTTCTTTTGAATGACCAGAACATGCTTTGCTTATTGAGCTCTTTTGATTATTAGTTTTGTCTAATTAGCTTAAACTTGCATGTGTAGGTGGCCATGGTGGAGGTGGAGCTGGATGTCAAGTACTCTTATCCCCGGGAGCTTCTCATCGCCTTCAGCGTGTGCACGACGGTCCTGGTGGCTGTGCACCTCTTCGCTCTGCTGATCAGCACCTGCATCCTGCCCAACGTCGAAGCCGTGAGCAACATCCACAACCTGAACTCGGTCAGCGAGTCGCCCCACGAACGCATGCACCACTACATCGAGCTGGCGTGGGGTTTCTCCACGGCTTTGGGGATTCTGCTGTTTTTAGCCGAAGTGGTGCTCCTCTGCTGGGTCAAGTTCCTGCCCGTAGACTCCGGCGTGGTCAAGGAGGCGGCAGCCAGCACCACCGTGAATTGCACCACAGGGGCGAAGCCTACAACCCCTACGGGTCCTAACAGCGGCTGGCAGGCGGCGCTGGCCTCCACCATCATCATGGTCCCAGTCGGGATCATTTTTCTGGTCTTCACCATTCACTTCTATCGCTCTCTGGTGCGTCACAAGACGGAGCGCCACCACCAGGAGATCGAGGAACTGCATAAGATAAAGGTGCAGCTGGATGGCCACGAGAGAGGCCTCCAAAACGTGTGAGAATCTACGGCAGCTTTAAATACTTTTATGCTTAAGATGCATATTTATAAAACTGTGTCTTCTCTGCAGTCGTTGTTTACTCCTCGAAGTCACAGCGAGCTTTACAGCCAAACGGCCTCGGATTGCTAAATTATTCTTAAAGGAACGTCTTATGGTGCGTTCCCACTGGACGTGATCTGGGCGTTAAAAACCCTTCAACGGCAAAATTTGGACGCTGGATCAAACGCTGCTTTGGCGCTTCGTTGTTCTGCACTCTGGTTGTTTTCTTTATTTACTTTGATTTGGGGGAAAAAAAGTTTTAACACGTTTTAAGCGGCCAAGTGCTCCTCCACACATATGCAGTTCTTGTTCAAAGCACCGGACCTCCAGCAAACTGCCGCCATCAGCGGTGGGAATCCCCGCTGGGAGCTCTCTGCAGGATTTCCCGCTCCCGTTCGTAGCTCCTGGAAGTGAATAGAAAATCTTTAAGCTTGGTAAAACTGCAAGTACCAGAACATGCAATTAAATATTTTAACAGTTTTAGTTAATTTGGATCTTTCTAAACAGTTTTGCCATTTGTTGGTGAAGGTTCTCAGTCATCCAGGTCATAGTCCATCCAAAAAAAGTTAAAAACAATCCACTGGACTTTGTTTGCAAGTTTGAAGACGTTTCACTTCCCGTCCAGGAAGCTTTTTCAATTCAGCGGTAATGATCAGAGCTCGCTCTCTTTTCCTCGTACAGAGGAAAAACCTTTGCAGTTTAACCCCCTTGATATTTATTTTCCATATGCAGACAGCTCTGCAGAAGCGATAACAGCTTGTAGTGTCTATTCGCCCCCCCAAAAAAAACTCCTGGACCAGCTTCTCTGATTGGTTGACACACTAGCAGTAGAAGTTCAATTTTCTGAAATTCAGCGTCAGACGCCAGAACGCTCGGTTATGCCGCTCCTGATGTTCCGCTTTGACGCCCAAAGCGCGTTCGGTGTGAGCGATCTGTTAGGAATTGTAGTCTGACCCGAATACTTTGTTTACTGAGGTCAAAAGTAAAAGGTTTACATACAAAAAGGGCTATTCCATACAGAGTGCCATATATGGTCTGCCTCTAGTTTGCAATGGGGTTGGTAGTTAAAATTAGTTTTCTTTTTAAATGAGAAAATGCCTTTTTTTTTTTTTTTTACTCTGTGAGGATTTAGTTTCACAACATCTCTGTTTGGTAAATCCCTCAGGATTCGTTTTGCTGGTCTCATTCAAGCCCAAGCTTGTTTTTATGCTCAGCCAAAGATTGTTTATTGCTCCCATTATGTTTCCCATTAAGCCTGGAGTGAAGGAGGTCATGTGGTATGAAAGCTTTCAGGACAATCTGAAGCAGTAATCTGTGCATTTATCTTGCTCTGCTGGATGGAACAGGTTGCCAAAGCACATCCACCACTCGCTGCCATCCAGAAGCTGGAGCGTGTCGTCCTTCCTGAATAGAGTTCATAATAAACCAAAAAGGGCAAAAAGAATCGGAGCAAATTTTCCATATTTTCCTGTAGCGCCAATTCACAACACATCATCTTAAGGCACTTTCCAGTTCACCAGATCATCCAGTCAGATTGATTCATAGTTTCTTATCTAAGGAAAACCAGCTGATTGCATCGAGTCATTGACTCTTCAGCAATCCCTCACGCTAAGCATGCTTGTAGCTACAGTGGAGA